CCTTTCTTGCTTCTTTTTGTAAGGTCAGGAGATGGCTGCTGTACCTCCAGGCACCACATTTGCATTCTAGACAGGAAGCAGACAAAACGGCAAAGGTGCGAAGGGCGAGGGCAAGGGGCACACCCACTGAGTGTGTGCCTTTCTACTAAGAAAGCTGAGGTTTTCCTGTGAGATTGCCCAACAGACTTTGCCCTGTAACCTGCTGGCCAGAATGACGGCCCGTGGCTGCTCTTACTGGTAAGGAGACTGGGGAGAAGTGTAATGTGGATGGGGTTAATCGGTCAACCAATGATGAAGACCAAAGTGCAGAAGCCTTGTGGGGAAAAAAAGGACAAAAGGGAAAATCAGGGAGTTGTTTTTCTTAAACAGAAAAACTTACCCTATATGTTTAAAAAGCAAACTTTTTAAAACTTAGTGGTAATTGTAGATCTGCTTGCAGTTGTAAGAAACAAAACAGTAAGATCTCTGACCCCTTTACTCTGTTCCTGCTGATGGCCACCTCTTGCATAGCTGTAGTACCATATCACATTTGGGATACTGACCTGGATGCAGTCAAAACACAGAACGTTTCCATGACCTCTAGGATTCTTCAAGTTGTCTTTTTACAGTTTCACCCACTCCTTTCTGCTCTTTGCCTCTTTATTTATTTATTTCTGATAACCATTCATCTGTTCTCCAGCTCTTTAATTTGGTCATTTCAAGAATGTTATGTCAGTGGAATGATACAGCATGTAAACTTTTAGAATTGGCTTTTTTTCTCTCTCCACTCAGCGTAATTCTCTGGAGAGTCAGGCAGGTTGTTGTTTGTAAATTACTGTTACTGAGCAGACCAGGGCCCTTCCATGTGGTGCCTTGGTCAATGACCCAACAGTTAATGCTGGAAGGCGCAGGTCTTTACATACCACATTCCAACCTTGGGAAAGCTTAGAGCACCTCAGCTCGGAGCTCTCCTTTCCTACGAGACCCAGCACTTCCCATGATGCCCACCAGGCTACTAGCCAAAAACATCCCCAAAGTTCCCCTTGTCCTCATCTGTGCAGGTTCTGGAACTCGTTGTTATCAGCCTCTGTGTAATAGTTCAGAAAAGCGTGTGTCATGTTACTCTGGATCATGGTGAAACTCAGGAAAGGCACAGGTCTTAAAAGTCCAGGTAAAATCCAGGTGCAGCAGATCAGGATTTTACCAGGCAGTACTTTGCAGCTCCGGGTCAGCTGGAGCGGGCACGATCACAGCAGCAGCATCTCCTTTCTCATTAGTCCAGGATGCATGGCCTCCTTCCTCACTATAAACTGCACAGCTGCTTGCTTCCTTCTCCCTTCTCACTGCTCTCTTTCCAACTGCAAGGTCAAGAGAATGAGTGGCTGCCATGCCTCGTTTAAATCTGGCCCGGAGCTTCCACGATCCCATGTCTGACTCCTCCCACAGTGGGTTACATTTGCCAGTTCCCCATGTCTTCTGACTTCTTCTGGCTGCCATTGTCGGTCAGGGCAGGTGTGGCCCTGAGAACTACCTCTAAACTCTCTCATAGGTGCAGGAAACTCCTTGCTACAACATGGGTTAAAGTCACGCCCATTTCCCTGGACCCCATCTCCACCCCCTCAAGTGCAGCAGACACAGCTTTTTAATATAACTATGAAGTAAGCCAAGTTGTCATAGATAGGCAAAACCTCCCAATCACTGTGCTTTGCTTCCCCCAGCCCCGAAGCCTGGTTTATGGGGGGAGGGGAAGGGGTTGGGGACTTTTCTCTGATCTCTGCTCTATCCCTAGGACAATACTGTAGTTAATTTCTTCTTGTTGTTGAATGGTGTGGACGTAATACAGCTCATTTAATCATTCATCCATTGAAAAATATCTGGGATGTTTTGGCAACTAACAAATAAAGCTGCTATAAACATTCCTGTGCACATTTTTACGTGAACATTAAGTTTTCACTTCATTAGGATAACTGCCTTGGAGTACAATTGCTAGGTTGTGTGGTAGTAGTATTTTTAGTGTTTTAAGAAAACTGCCTAGTTGTTTCTAGAGTGACTTTATCATTTTTCATTCCCATCAGCAGTGTATGAGCAACCCAGGTTGTTGGCATCCTTGCCAGCATACGGTGTTCTCACTACTTTTTACTTTAGCCATTCTGATAAGTGGCCAGTGATGTCTCAGCGTGCTTTTAATCGGCACACCCCTAATGGCTAATGACATGAAACATCTTCATATCTGTTCACTTCTCTACTAAATAGTCTCTTCAGTGCAATGTCTATTCATGTCTTTTGCCAATTTTCCAACTAGATTGTTTTTCCACATTGAAGTTTTGAGAGTTCGCTACACATTTGAGATACTAGTCATTAGGTGGTTATGATTTCCACATATTTTCCCCACTCAGTAGCTTGTCTTTTTATCCTCTTAATAAAGTGTCTTTCAACACAGCAAGTTTTAAAATCTTGATGATGTCCAACTTACCAACTTTTCCTTTTATAGGTTATGCTTTTGGAATCAAATGCAGAAATTCCTTTCCTAGTCCTAGATCACTAAGATTTTCTCATGAGAAACGTTTTTGTAAAAGTTTTACAGTTTTACTTTTTATCTTAAATCGGTGATGCATTTTGAGTTAATTTTTGTAGGAGATGTGAGACTTAAGTCAAGATTTATTCTTTTGTTTATGGGGGGACGTTCACTTGTTCTAGCACCATTCGTTGTGAAGGCCATTTCCTCCATTGAGTCTCTTGTGCTGTTTTCAAACTTCAGTTTGGCATATTTGTGGGAGGTCTATTTCTGGTTTCTTTATTCTGTTCCAATGGTCTATGTGTCTGTCTCTCCACAAATACCATGCAATCTTCAATACTGTAGCTCCATGGTAAGTCTTGAAATCGAGTGAAAAGATTCCTCCCATTTTACTTGTTTTCCCAAAGTGTTTTAGGTATTCCATTTCCTTTGCTTTTCCACATAAATTTTAGAATAACTTTGTTTTCATACAAAAATCACCTATTGGAATCTTGACAGGAATTGAACTAAATTTATATGTGAATTTGGGGAGAATCAATATCTTTACTAAGTCTTTCCAGCTATTTAGATCTTTTTTTATTTCTTTTATCAGCATTTGTAGTTGTTAGCATGTGGGTTTGTACATGTTTTGTTAAATCTACCTAGGTTTTTCATTTTTTGAGCAATTGTGAATGGTATTGTATTTTTAATTTCAGTGTCAGATGTGCATTGGTAGTGGATATATAATAAATACAGTTATTTTTAAATTTTTATCTTGGATGTGTGACCTTGATGAACTCATTAATTCTAGGCAGTGTTTTGTAGATTCCTTGGAATCTTTCCATGTAGGCAATTATGTTATTTGCATTTAAGGGCAGCTTTATTTCTTCCTCTCTGACCTGTTTACTTTTTACTTCCTTTTTTTGCCTTACTGGGCTGGATGGAAGTTCCAGCCCAAGGTCGAGTAGGAGCGGTGAGAGCGAACGTCCTTGCCCTATTCCTAATCTCAGGGGGAAAAGCGTTAGATCTTTTACCATTGATTATAATGTTAGCTGCAGGGCTTTTGTTGATGTTCTTTATCAAGTTGAGGAAATTCCCCTCTATTTTTATTTTCTGAGAATTTTTTTCTTCAGCCCTGGCTGGTGTAGCTCAGTGAATTGAGCGTGGGCCAGTGAACCAGAGGGTTGTGGTTCCATTCCCAGTCAGGGCACATGGTTGGGTTGCAGGCCAGTTCCCAGCAGGGGACACATAAGAGGCAACCATACATTGATATTTCTCTCCCTCCCTTCCCCTCTAAGGATAAATAAATAAAAAATCTTTAAAAAATATTTCTTCATTGCCTGCTTGTTTCTGGTATTGCTGGAACTATTCTGATTTTAATCCCATGTATGTGACCTGGCTTTTTCTACCAGCAGCTTCCAGGATCTTACTTTCATCACCAGTGATCTGGACCTCAGCATCACGATCTCTGGTGCATGCCTATTTTTATCCATTTTAATGAGAATATGGTGCATCTTTTCAACCCATAAATTTCATGTCCTTACATTCTGAAAAACATTTCTTGGATTATTTCTTCATTATTACTAGTTTTTACAATTAATTGGAAGGCCTTCTTCAATCACCTGCTATAAAGATCACCTTGCTTATTTCTTGAAACTTGGATGAGAACACTTGGAAAAAATACGGTTGTATTCTTCAAATACTTGAAATTCTGTCCTGAGAAAGAGTTGTTAGACATGGTCTATGCTGTTCTATGCTCAAGGTATGAAGTTACAAGGAAATATTAAGTGTACTATCAGGAATCACATTCCAATTGGAATGGCCTAAAATTAGCATGGACGTCTTCGCAAATAATTATGCTTTACATTTTTTTTTTCTTTCATCTCTTCAACAAATACTCATTTGAGCATTTAGGATGTGGCGGACGTTAGATATACGATGGTGAACAAAACAAAGGGACTCTCCACAAAGTTTACTCTAATTTCTACGTGTAAGTGTTCACTGATAACTTTTAATCATTTCACGAAAAATCAAGTTCCCACTGAGGCTATCTGAAACGTGGGCGAGGCTGGGTTGGAGTTAACTCCGGCCCGTTAACTTCCTTACCGATTTTCTCCGATCGGTAAGGAAGGTAACAGTGAAGTTGCTGGGCATGCGTGTCAAGCACCGCCGCACGCCGGAACCCGGCCTCTTTTCCTCCGAATCCACGCAGCCGCCGGGCCACCAGCCCGCCCCACCACTCGCCTGGACCCTCCCCTTTCACCGCCCCCATCCACCCCTTTAACTCGCGACTCTCAGCCCGCGAGATTTGGATCTCTCCTCTCGCGAGACCTTCACCGTAACGTGCACGCTTTAGTGGTTGTTGGAGCGGGTTTACTTCCGTTGTGGTTTGTCGGCAGGTCTGGGTCTTTCCCCGAGCTGTTGAGTAGGTTCCGGGAACCGAGCGAGGGCTGCTGTCGCGCGGGCGTCCCTGTCTAGGCAGTGGGGCGGACGTCCTGGGCTTGGGCCCGCCTCTGGCCACGTGCGCGCCGCGGGTTCCGGGTCCCAGTGAAGTGTTACCTGGGGGAGGCGGGATCCGGTGGGTGGCCCACGCGCGCGGCGACACTGTCCGGGGACTGCTGTAGCTCCAGTCCTCCAGTCCAAGGTACGAGGGTGTTAGAGCGGCCTCCGTGCTGACCCCGCCCTGGGCCTGCCGAGGTTGGCACCCGGGTGACAGGTGAGGTCAGTGGCTCGAGAGCGTCTTGCAGATGGGAGTCTCCGGAATTCGCTTCTTTTTGGTATTAAAGAAGTTATTTATCCAGTGTTACCAAATGGAATTGGTTTTCCTTATTTGCTGTGTTACGAGGCTTCAGAGAGAGACGAAAGATTTGTATAAAGTGAATAGGGAAATGACAAATCCCACGATAATCTCTTTCTTTTTAAAATTAGGGCATACAGCATAATGGAGTATATGACAGAATCCACCGATCGCACCCCTGGACACATGTGAGTCACTCCCCTTTCCGGTCCCCTTTAAATTTAAAGATGTTAAAGTGAGTCTGAAACCCAGCCACATTGGGGGACGCTTTTGTTTTTAAAAGGGGAATTCTTCGTCTAAGTGAAAGAATTGGAAAGTTTGTTGCTGCAGATATTTCCCTTAAGAGAATATATTCACCATATGTTCTTCTAGGTTAACCACATGTGGTATTTAAAGTACTTACAATGAAATAAAATGAAATATTCAGTTCTTTAGTCTTGCTAGCCACATTCCAAGTGCTCAGTAGCCACGTGTGCCTGATAGCTACCATATTGGGCATCACAGATTATAGAACATTTCTTTTGAACAACATCAGTGATTCTCAAACATTTTCTGCTCCCAGTATACCCAGGATCATGACACTCCCATTAGTTATACTGAGTCACTAGACATGATACTCTTTTCATCCTTTAAACATTTTCTGCTCTGGGTAAATGTTTATGTTTTGGCAGTCCCTGTGCTATGCTGAGGCTTTAAAAAATTACTTTTGACCTATAATGCCACCTGATTACTGTTAGAAATAATTTAGACTCTTGAGGCCCTTTGGACAGTAGGTAAAGAATCTTAAAACGCTGAGATTATAAAAAAGAAAGGAAAGCCAAAATTCCAGAAACCCTCAAGATATGGTGATTCTTTACCTACTGCCCCTTTGAAGATTGTTTGTTTTCCTATTTGCTGCTTAAGAGCAGAGATATTAATGGCCCTAACATGGAGGATTTTGTTTGTTTGATAGTTTTAAGATTTAACCAGTGCATTTATGAAATCTAACTTGTAAATTTTATGCTTTATTTTTTTAAGCTTGTGCTGCGAATGTGGTGTTGCAATTAGTCCAAATCCTGCCAATATTTGTGTGGCCTGTTTGAGAAGTAAAGTAGACATCAGTCAAGGCATTCCGAAACAGGTCTCTGTATCTTTCTGCAAGCAATGCCAAAGGTATGCTGTGATACTATTCACCCTACTTACAGTTGAGATGTATGTATAGGATATGCCGTGGTTACCAAGGTACATGAAAAAAGTGCATGTGATTGAGATTTAATTTTATTCATGTTGATGTTGCCAAAGATTTTAGAATTTGTAATTTTGTAGTGTATTTTTTAATTTGCCCTGCTAATCTGGTGAAGATAGTGTAGAGGTATTTGAATCTGGTCTGTTTCTCTTAAGAGAATAATAGGTTTGATATATAAAGTCAATAGATACCAAGCTGATGTGTGTAAGAGTGAGAACAGTTTACTAAGGACATTCTTCTGTTATTACCATGAAAGATTTTTTTCCCCCTCAGTCAGTAGAAGCTGTGCATGATTTAAAAAAATCACCTATGTTTTAAGTGATATAGCAAAGTCTTTAAACAAATTACATCTATGAATGTTCCCATTGTAACTAAAATCACAGTAGTTGATGGGGAAAAAAGCTCACATATCCGTAATGGTCTGAAATGAAGACTGGATTTGAAAGCAGAAGACCTTCTGAAATTGCTTAAATTCCTTATTTATTAACTTCAGTTACTGCCATAAACTGCTTATGTCTGCCTTGTAGGCCATTGGGTAACACAAAACTGCCCAATGAAACTGTGTAAAATTATGCCTGTGATTTCCCAAATGGGTTAGGATTATAGCAGTTCTTAACTTTTGTGGAGGGGGAGGGGTTTATGAATGTTTTTGCACGTTTGAAAAGTGTATCTCCTGTACATACTCCTGTATAAACACATGAAAGTTTGTGCTGTTTCAGGGGGATTATAGTTTGCAGGCGTTGCGAATGTGAAGCTTAATTTATTATAACTGTTTGCTATTCTTAAAAGCATGGTAGAGTAAAACACTGGACAAAGAATCAGGATACCTAGTTTGTTTTGGATTTCCCACAAATTAGCTTTTTTAAAACTCTTGACTGTTAACCTCTTTAAGCATTAATTTCCTCATCAGACTGAAGGGGCTTCATTAGATGATACATGAAGCCCTTTCTAACTTGAAAAGCATGCTTATATCAAAGCAACTTGTGTAATATTTTTGAATGAACCTTTAAAAGTATGCTAAAAAAGAAAAAGGACTCACATAACACATTTAGAAGTACTCGGTATTTAACAAGCCTTTATTGGGCACTTACTCTGTGATAAGCATTGTCCTAAGTCCTGGTGGGCTGGGCTAAAAAACTTAGAGTACATGCATGAAGGATTTCAGTTTTAACTTAGATGCTATGTAAGATTTAAAAACTTGAATTTTACAGCTAAAATTTGGAAAAGGAATTTAAATAGGTGAATAATCTGAACTATTCTGGTACATAGTATGAGGTATTAATTTATCTTTGTGAGAAATAAGCAGTTCTTAAGCATTACAGGTATACATTATAAATCATTTTAATGGCATTTTAAGATGATTTTTACCTGCTTTTCAGAGTATAGATTCAAGGAACTTTTGGTCATTTTGTCATCTACACTAGAATTTTTATGGTGCTTGCAGCTCGGCTTTTGCAAATGCCCAGAATTTTACCTTTTTAAGTAAAGCTACTGGTCTAATGGAAAGTTTTTTAGAACTATTAGAATATATTTGGGTTGAGTGCTTTAGATTAACTGTGGGTTATTATATTTGGTTAATAATCAGTGTTATATCTGCATATGCAGATGGGAATTTTTATTTTTCCTTGAGAGATCCTGGGGTTCAGGATATTGTCTTCTCTCTCAGATATTTCCAGCCACCAGGAACTTGGATACAGTGTGCATTAGAATCCAGAGAACTTCTTGCTCTGTGTTTGAAAAAAATTAAAGCCCCTCTGAGTAAGGTAGGTCAAATAGCTGAAAAATTTTTTGTAGGAATATCTTTTTAATCTCTCATTTTTGGTAAATCCTTGTATAAGTAGGTTTTTCAAAAGTTACTATTAAATGTTATTGTTGGTAAGTATTCCACTATAAATGTTGTTCCATGTTTAAAGTTAAATATATTCTTTTTTTAAAAAATATTTTATTTATTTATTTTTAGAGAGAGGGAAAGGAAAGGAGAGAGAGAGAGAAAAACATCAATGTATGGTTGCCTCTCGCGTACCCCACACTGGGGGCCTGGCCCATAATCCAGGCATGTGCCCTGACTGGGAATCGAACCAGTGACCATTTCATTCACAGGCCTGCACTTAGTCCACTGAGCTACACCAGGCAGGACAAATATATATATTTTTTTATGGAAATGAAAATAAGTCTGCTTTAAAAGATTTAATATAGAGTCAAATTTGTCAGTCATTTATCAGGAACCTCTTAACCTGCAATAATTTTGGGGGAAAATATATGTATGAAATTACTGCTCAACTTTGTCTTTTTCCTTGTGTATTGTTTTAAATCTTCATTTTGTTGTGTTTTGTCTTTTATTTTTGTGTTCCTGGCAATTTTCTTATCTTTATCTTTCTGTATTTGTATTGATTTTTTCCCCCAGCACTAATATTTTTTAAGTTTCAGAGTCTTGATGTATTCTGAGGGTTTGTTAATAGTTGTTTTTTTTTTAAACATTTCTATTTCCTGATTTGTCTGTCTCTCTCTGTGTCTCTTTGTCTTTTTTCTCTGGAGTCTGTTTTTTGTATAACTTGGTCTTTTTGCTCTTATACTTCAGGCTTTTGTCAAATGTCTGGTGAGCCCAGTGTGGTGATGGCTGGAGCTGGGCTGGGCAGAGGGGGACAAAGAGGATGGAAATTGGGGACATCTGTAACAGTGTCAACAATAAAGAAGTTAGCCAAAATTTTTAAAAAGGACACATTGCTTTCTTTTTTTAAAATCCTCATCTGAGGACATGCTTAATTGATTTTTACAGAGAGTGGAAGGGAGAGGGATAAAGAGGGAGAGAAACATCATGTCAGAGAGTAACATCGATTGGTTGCCTCTCATATGCACCCCAACTGGGGACTGAACTTGCAGCATAAGCATATGCCCTGACTGGTTTATGGGATGCTGCTCCTGCTGACTGAGCCACACCAGCCAGGTCAAGGTCACAGTTCTTAAGATGAGAGATGTTAAGTATATTTGCAAGGTGTCCTGGAATAATAAGGTATAGAGGGAAACATTTGTAAAACTGCAAAGATGCAGAAGAATTGTCTGGGAGATGTCCTCGAGAAGTAGGAAAGTGATAGGGTGTAGCATACCAGTGGAAGAATACTTTTCTTTGTTCATTCACAAATACTTGGCACTTAGTCTTTACCAGCCTTTTTTGGGAGCCTGGACTGTTTCACAGAACAGAAAAGATCTCTGCTCTCTATCAGGGCATTCTAGAGGTTGGTCTTGATAACAGGAGCATAGACATTTCATTTATGATAATGGAAAAGTGTTGGCATGTGGTAGCTTCTGGAAAATCTCTCCTCTTTTTTTTAAAATTGTGAAGACAGATGGGTGGGCAGTAGTTATTGAGGGAAAATCTATTATCAGGTGTTTGAGAAGAGGGGAAGGTATGAAATAGACCTCTGGGCAAGTGGGAAAGGGTACCAGAACGATGGATGGTTGCTGGGCAGGGCTGAGAGTTACTGTTATAAACTTAAAGAATAGTGTGGTGTGTGTGTGTGTGTGTATATTTCTCTAGCCCCATCATCTGCATAGGTAAGGCATAGAGCAGGCAGATCACTGGATTTAACCAACATGATTTAGCCAGATGAGTAAGGTAAAGTGAGAGAGGGACCTAGGCAATTGAGTGTATACATGGGAACGAGTGAGGATTGATCTTGAAATTAAACTGGGATAGGATAGAAATGAGTAGATAAGGAGGGATGGGAGATAGTGGAAAGGTGGTAGGATGAACAATTTGTGGATTTCAGTAGATTGAAGGGTTTTTAGTGTCCAGGACTAGAGAGAATGAGCTGAAAATGTAGATGATAATCAGATGTTTGGAATTGAAGGGGTTGGGGTGGGAGATTCAGTTAGTTACAAGTAGGAAGAAGGACAAGATCTTGTGGGGAAAGGAACTCAAAAAGAAGGGAGAGACTAAGGTATTTGGGGATTATTTATGAGGATATTGAAATCATTAAATATTAATATTGTGGAAAAGAGTGACTGATCCAGGATCTAAAAATCTGTGAGAAATGAAAGCAGTGACCCAAGGACTAATAGATGACTAACAAAGAAAGAGGTGGTTAAAAACAAATTAAAAATAAAAAAAGCCCTAGCTGGTGTGGCTCAGTGGATTGAGCGCTGGCCTGAGAAACCAAAAGGTTGCCGGCTTGATTCCTAGTCAGGACACAGGCCTGGGTTGCATGCAGGTCAGGACCCCAACTGGGAGCACATCAGAGGCAATCAACAGATGTTTCTTTCCCTTTTTTTCTCCCTTCCTCATCCTCTTTCTAAGAAGTAAGTAAAATCTTTTTAAAAATTAAAAACAAAATAAAAAGAGGTGGTGACATAGTCCCAAGACTTCAGGTTTAAACCTGGCTGTATTTTAGGAAGAGGCAGGGAGAATGGTTTGGAATAAGTGGTTTAAGGACAAGAAGGTTACCTCTGTGGCTCATGGTCGAATAATGGGAGGAAAGTGAGAAAAGTATCAGTCATTACTTTAATTAGCTGCAGAGGAACAATGTACGAGGTCTGTCCAGAAGGTATCCAGCCATGCAAAATGAAAAATAGAGACATTTATTGAAGAAGATAGAAGAAACATTGTACACAGCACAATGATGCCTCAGTCCCTTTCAAAGTAGGCACCTTGGGACCTCACACAGTTCTCCTAGTCACCATCAGCTGCCCATCATATTTTTCTGAATCTTGTTGATCTGAAATCTCTTCCTTTTCAAAGGTGATTTGAGTTTATAGAAAAGTCAGAAGTTGTGGGGCTTAAAAATCTGTGCTGTAGGGGGGCTGAGTCACCTGGGTGATTTGATGTTTTGCCAAAAAACTCTGTATGAGACATGATGCATGAGTGGGCACATTGTCATGATGAAGCTGCCAATCACCAGTTGTCCATAGCTGTAGCCTTCTGTATCATCTGAATTGTTTCCATGGAGGAATGTTTGAGCTTAATGCAAAATAATGCTTAATGCAGATTTGTTGATCTGCTCAGTCATTTTGAATGTGATGACCTTACAGTGCATGTGCTCACTCAGTGGCATCCACTGCCCCTTCTGACTGGTACAGTGAAGTCGTTATTGTTCATACATGTGCACATTCCAGTCCACTCTGTTTGGCTGCCAGTTCACACCAATGTTGCGCAAACTGTTCTCATTATATTAACAATGGCTGGGCTTTTCCCAAACAGACCTTGTATATAATCGAGATTTCGAAGGTAAAGGGAATGTTCTGTGAAAAGTTTGGGGATTTAGGAGGTTTTGTTGATAGTGATTGTTGAGTTCCAGAGTGTTAGATGGGACAGAATAAGGAATATGTGGAACCATATGGAGTTTGGGGTGTGGATGATGAGGGGTGACTGAGGTATTTGGGACTGCAGTAAAAAAGGATAAAGGGCCCAATAAAGTTGACTAGTCCTGGTTGTCTGAGGACAGACAGTTTGGTGAGACTGTTGGGCACTGGTGAAGTGGAGGTCAAGGGTCCTCCTCCATTTCTGCAGATGGAGGTTGGAAACTGAGTAAAAGGCAGCCTTCGTGCCCGTGGGGCTTCCTCTCAACCCCTGCGGATGGAGACTGAGGGAACAGAAGCTGCCTGTCACCCTCTGTGTGTGCTGCTAGGGTTTGCTTTAGCGGGGAGCCTAGTGGTATGAGGAGAGTCTTACCCTGGAGTGCTGCAGCTACACTAACTAGTCTAGCTCTCACCAGACAGGGCTTAGTTAAATTATCACCTGCCCATTGATGTCTCTCAAATCTGTTATCTGGAGCTCAGATTTCTCCGTAGAATTCCAGACTAAGTATTATGTCTTGTTAGCTACTGAACATGTTCACTTGGATATCTCATAGATTAATCCTCTTAAATGCAAATGTCCGAAACCAAACGCAGCATCTTTTCCCTATTAAATCTGTTCTTTGTGTCAGAAAAATAGTATTATCTAGATGCCCAAGCTGGATACTTGAGCATTATTCTATTGGGTTGGCCAAAAAGTTCATTTGATTTTTTCCATAGGGTGGCTCTAGTAGTGCTTGGTTGTCTTTAACTTCATTTGAAACAATTTTGTTAGATTGTGTTATGACAGCTGTCATATCAGTGTACATTAAAAAAAACTTAACAAATTGGTGAATTTTTGTGTAGCCATTTTAATATTGAAGATGGAAGAACATATGCAACATTTTTGGCATATTATACATTAATATTTCAAGAAAGGTACAAGTGCAACTGAAATGCAAAAAAAAAAAAGATTCGTGCAGTGTATGGAGAAGGCTCTGACTGTTTGAATGTGTCAACAGTGGTTTGCGAAGTTTCACGCTGGAGTTTCTGCTGGACAGTGCTTCACGGTCAGGTAGACCAGCTGAAGTTGGCAGCAATCAAATTGACACATTAATTAAGAACAATCAGTGTTATACCACATGGGGGATAGGCAACATACTCAAAATATCCAAATCAATAAAGTTATTGGTGAAATGAAAAATGTATCTTTTATTTTACAGAAAAGCTAAATAGACTTTTGGCCAACCCAGTAAAATCTGTTCTTTTCCACCTGCCATATCTGGATATTAAATCCTATAGATTTTATATGTTAAATAGCTCTTGGATCTTTTTGCTTCTGTTATTTTTAGTACTTCCCAGTTCAGCTTGCTTATAACTCCTGCCCATATTATTGAAACAACCTCCATTCTTATTCTCTCACCTCCTTCTTCAAAACATCAACTTCAGCGATATTGAGCTCTGTTCAGCCTCTCACATACAGTCAACTGTTCTTGCCTCTGCTGGTCCTGCTTATTTAGCAGTGCACTGCCATATTCAGTGCACGAGATGCTCTCTAGTGAATATTTGTTTGTTTGTTTGTTTTTGATTAAGCCACACACTTTAATATTAGATAATTCAAGTAGAAACTTGTGTTTACGAGATTTCTGGTGGATGATGAGGTCACAGCATCTTTGCTTCTTTATAAAAAGTGTAATGTCCAAAAAGAAGATCCATTCAAAGCATAGTATACTATTTTAAGGAAAGGGTTTTTATTTTTTTCCTATGCAAGTAGTATTTCATTTTTCCTTGAATTATACATGTTGTACTAATGTAGTTCTTAGATTGTCCTTTTATTTGCTGTTTTTGTTGCCATACCTTTTATGATACTTTTTTTTTTACTGGTTGTATTGGGTAGTGATACTAATCACAGAGTCCTTAAACATCTCATGAAATTTATTTGTTAATGAATTGTTCTTTTATGTTTTTCTCCTCATAAGGGAACTCAATTTTTTTCTGTTTGTGTTTCTTGGAAGGTCCGGCTTGTAGATGCGGGCTTTGTTTGGACTGAGCCCCATTCTAAGAGACTCAAAGTTAAACTGACTGTTCAGAAAGAGGTAAGCCGTGCATAATTTCTCAGCGTGGTTAACGTGTAGGTAGTGAAAGTGAAGGGGCTTTTTGTAAGTTATTTTATGACTTGATAGCTTAAAAGGACATGAATACACTCTTAATTTTAACTCCTTGTTTTCTTTTGGATCATCAGCATAGATGATCAGGTCACTCATAATAGCATCCATTGCTTATGGCTTATGGTTAGGGGGCTAAGGTCATGTTTTCAAAGTTACTTTATTAGAAAAAAATTGAAGTGAAAACATGAGCGAGGGCAGTGCTTCTCAGACTTGGCTGGTTATCGCAACTCACAGTAACAGAGCTAGAGTCGGTTCGCTGGGTGTGGGACACAGGAATGTGTACGTTTCGAAAGTTCCCGCGGCGATTTCAGGTGATTGGCTGTGTCTGGAAACAAATTAGGAATGTTGTCTTTTTTGATAGTTTTTTGTCTTATTTTTTCTTCTGAGGATAAATTATATATACACACACATATACAAATATATATATAAGTATAGATATAAAAAATCTGCAAAAAAATCCTCACAAGCGCTTCAACTAAAGGTAAATTTGAAATGTTAATATAGTCAGTCTTATGAATTAAACCTATATGTCTCTCTTGAAATAGTATAACTTGTGACTTTACATTGAACTGATTTATTATTGATATTCTCAAAGCAATCATGGAAAAATATTTTGAGTTAAACATTAAAGTGTCTTTTTAAGGAAAATACTTGTAACTAAATGGAAAGAATGAAGTAGCATGATTGTTGTTTTTTTTTTTTTAATCAGGTGATGAATGGCGCCATCCTTCAGCAAGTGTTCGTGGTGGATTATGTTGTTCAGCCCCAAATGTGTGGAGACTGCCATAGAGTAGAAGCTAAGGATTTCTGGAAGGCCGTGGTCCAAGTCAGGCAAAAGGTGATGAGAGAAGGATGATGAGTGAATCCTCCAGCTCGTGTTTTTTCTTTGTCAGTTACAAGCAGCTAATAAAACCTCCTTTCTTGTTCCTTTTTTCTAAATTCTTAATGCTCCCGTGATAGTCTAGGTCTCTGGAGCATTCACCTTGAGAAATGTGATAATTTCTACAATGTAATAATTGTAGATCATCTGTAAAAATGATTTTAGTTTTAAAAACCAATGTGCCATATCTACGGGTGGCTTTTCTTTGCATTTCATCTATTAATCTAATATTGTATTTATGTTTAGACTTTGCACAAAAAAACTTTCTACTACCTGGAACAGTTAATTTTGAAATATGGAATGTCTCAGAATACACTTCGTATTAAAGAGATTCATGGTGAGTTAAAACGTAAAGGCATTTGAAATGATGTCAGAACCCTTTAATCACTGATCTTGCATATCTTGAGAAAAGTGCTTAGAAGTGTGGTCCTGATCTTTAAATTCAGAGGAAAAATGAGTATCAGTTATGTCGCCTGAAGAAAATCTTGTAGGCTTTGTATCTGACCTGAGTATTATCTGTAGAGGTTAATAGTCTATGTTGGTGAAGCATAGTTTAGTGACTCTGGTTTTAGAAGTAGGGGGCACATATCATAAAGTATAATTTATACACTGTGCTAGAAGCAGTGAGACAGAATCTTGCTGCCTGTTTAACCTATTGTCTGACTCTGGCTACCTCCCAGGAACATAAGTACCCCTTTGTACCTGGTAACTTTGTTTTGAGTAACTCTTGGGAATAAGGAGATCCAAATATTCTAGCTAAGGCAGCTAAACAATTATATTGTTCATCACTGTGGCAGAATTATCCTCACAGATTTTTTTTTGTAGTAAAAGACATGGATACATTTCGGGACATACTTTGCAGTCACTTTCAAAACCAAAAATATAAGTTTAACCACCCCCTCTTTTTTTTTATCCAGAGGAGTTAATGTCCCCCTTGCCCCCATCCCCAAGAACAGTGGTTCTTGGTTTGATTTAAATGAATGTGTTGTTTGTTTGTGTATTTGTAACTTTTAAAAATCATAATCATAAAAATTCCAACTTGGAATAATATGTGAATAAAGGATGACCGGGTCCCTTTTATCTACTTGTCATTCCTAGAGGTAGCCCCTTAAAACAAGATAGTGTGCTGTGTACTCTCTGTGTACATTGTGACGTAATTGGTTTCCCTCATGTGGGATAATTCTGAAATATTCTGTGACTTCAACATGTTACATTATATATTTGGAAACCTTTCCATCTCATTGCATGTGATTCTATTTCATTATTTTTTACCACTTCATGTGTGTGCTTATTAATCAATGTCTTTAATTAGTTATTTCCTATTACTATATTTTGCCACATATAATGTGCATTTTTTTTGCCCAGATTTTTGAGGGAGAAATAAGGATGTGCATTGTACCTGAGTATTACGATTACATGGCATGGCCATGATAATCCCGTGTATAATACGCACAAAAACGTGGGTACACATTATACACGGGAGCTCATTATACATGCAAAATATAGTAGTTGGCTTATAAGATGTTTCATTTTCTTTTTTGCTGCAGCAAACAAATGCTGACATAAATGCCCGTGTGTTTGTTTATTTAGTGGTTTTTCTGTGGCATTGAGTTTGAGCCGAAATTGCTAGATGAGTATGCTAATACCAAATTTTATGTGTACTGCTAGGTTGTCTTCCAAAATAGTGCCATGTTACAGTCCCATGACTTATGAGTTTACATTTTCCCCAAATGCTTGCCAACACTGCGTAAGATTGTATTAGCCTTCTAATTTTTGTTGTTCTAAAGGAGAAAGTAATGGCATCTTGTTTTATTTTGCATTTCCTTGATTACTAATGAAGGTTAATATTTGCATATGTGTATTAGCCATTTATGTTTCTCTCCAATGTGATTAACCTGTTCTTCATAATGTATTTTTCCTCACGTTATTCAGGATGTCAGTCTCACTACTTATGCGTGTGTGTACGTGTGTAGAGTGCGAATGCCTTTGGGAGCATGTTTTCGAGCAGGAGCCTGAAAGAGCACACACTTTTTGTAGTGTGTAATGTCTTATTAATTTTCCTTCTTTAGTTATGTAGCTATGGCTTATGACTTTTGTGTCTCACAGGGGAAAGTTTTCTATACTCACAAGATTGTTTTTTAAGAGTCTTGTGCTCTACTGACTGAGCTAGCCGGGTGCACCTCCAAGATTATTTTTTAAAAAGTAAATTATAGTTTATATTTTACTTTTGGATCTTTAATCTTACATGGTAGGAGTTTTTCCCAGTAAGTTAATTAACTTGCATTGTCTTAAAACCTACTACCAAATTGTCTCTTTTCCCCACTGATTTGAAATATCTCCTTATTCTTACATGTTAAATTCCTTTATATACGTGGTTCACTTCTTGTTAATTTTGTCTCACTGCTTCTACCACAGTATATAAATGATACTTTATAATGTGTACTCCTTACTAGTTCCTTTTTTTTTTTTCAAAACTTGATTGATAGTAAGGGCATGGGTTCTAAAACCAGATTTTGTCGGTTCGAATCTCTGTCCCATCAGGTTTTTGCTGTCTGACCTCAGGGAAGTTCTTTAACTTCTTTGACCTCAGTTTTTCTATCAAGAAAATGGGATGATGATAGCGCCTCCCTCATAGGAATACTGCGAAGATTAAATAATGTGTGAAGCATTAAGAACCATGTTTGATGCATAATTACACTTACTCAATTCTTTCCTATACTTGTAACATTTTATAGTTTTTCTCATAAAGATTTTGAGTTCCTTGTTGGCATTTTGAGCTACTCTGTACTATTTGTTATTGCAGATAGCAACTTTCTCATTATGTTTTCTAATTCATTGTTGCTAATATATTAGAAAGCTATTGATTTTATATGTTGATCTTTCTGAAATTTCATAATATCACTAGTAGTTTACAGTTGATACTCTTAATTTTTAGGTAAACAGTTATGTGTTAACAGTGATAGTTTTATTTCTTAATTATGTTTTTTATTTTAAATATTTTATTGTGGTTTTGATTTATATTTTCCTGATTAGTGACAGTGAGCATTTTTCAGGTATTTGTGGGCGATTTCATGTTTTCTTTAGGGAAATGTCTCCTACAGTTCTGCTTCCATGTTGCAGTGGGGTTATTAGATCTGCTATTGAGTGGTAGGAGTTCCTAATATATTTTGGAGATTAATCCCTTTTAGGTTAGTCCCATTTGTAATTACTTTCTCCTATATTTTTTTAGATTGTCCTTTCATCATGTTGATTGTTTCTTATGCTATGCAGAAGCTTTTTAGTTTGATGTAGTTCCTCCCAGTTTATTTTTATTTTTGTTGCCTGTGCTTTTGGTGTCATAGCCATGACGTCACTGCCAACACCAATGTCATAAAGCTTTCCCTCTCCCTATGTTTTCTTCTAGGAGTTTTATAGTTCAGGTCTCAATTTGAGTTGAGTTGATTTTGTGTATGGTGTAAGACAAGTGTCTATTTCACACTTTTGCATATGGATATTCAGTTTTCCCAATATCATTTGTTGGAGACTGTCCTTTCCCCATTGTGTATTCTTGGCTCTCTTGTTTAAAATCGGTTTACTATATATGTGCGAATTGATTTCTAGACCCTCTATTTTGTTCCATTGGTCTATAGGACTGTCTGTTGATACCATACTGTTTTCATTCCTGTAGTTTTGTAATATATTTTGAAATCAAGAAATGTGATGCTTCTTCTTAATGGTATCTGTATATCTTTTAAGAATTTTATAGTTTTAGCTCTTACATTTAGGCTTTAAGTTAATAGCCCTTTTGAGTTACTTTTTGTTGATGGTGTGAGAGAAGGGTCTAAATTCATCTTTTTCACATGGGTATCCTACTTTCTCAGGAAAAAGACTGTCCTTTCCCAAATGAATTGCTTTGGATCCTCTGTCAAAGATCAGTTGACTGTAAATGTAAGGGTTTATTTCTGGGAATTTGAGTCTGTTCCATAGATGTACATACCCATCCTCAGGCCAGAACCACACTGTCTTGATTACTTAAAGCTACTGAGTTGTGAAATTGGGAAGTATCATGTTCCTGATAACTTTATCTTTATAATTGTTTTAGCTACTCTGGGTTATTTTAGTTTCCCAGTTACTGAGTTGTTTGGAAGAATATTTCTAAACATTTCTTAGCAGGTGGTTTTGCTTTTAGTTTCATTTTATTGCTGATTTTTCATGCTGCATTGTGATCAAATAGTGTTATCTAGTAATTTATACAATTTTGAATTTATTGAAGTTAAAAAATCTTAGTATATAATTATTTTATGAATATTCTTTTTTATAAATGTTCTTCGAATTTTTAAAAATTGTATGTATTATTTCTTGAGACCATGTTCTGTAATTTCAATTAAATTAATCTTGATAGTTTGTTATTAAATCGTTATATTATGGATTCAATTTCTATATAATTCAGTTTATGAATCCTTCCTATTTTTGGTCAGTTTGGTGTTATACTAGTCCCCCACAATGATTGTGCATGTGTTAACATTTCTTAATTTTTTTTAATAGTTTTTGTTTCTGCATCTCAGTGCTGTTATTAGGTGCATTTCTATTGTTCTCTTGGTAAATTGTCCCATTTACTACATAAAATATCCTTCTGTGTCCTGGAGTTTAGTGTTTTTCTCCCCTCCAGTTGACCTTAAGTATTATTATGTTTGAAATTAAATTATGAATCTTATTTTTGTTAGCACTTGTCTGAATTTGTTAAATAATTTGTTTTATATGATACCCCTAATACATACAATATATTTTCTGATAGTTTGCTTTTTAGTACACATTTAATTTGTTGTATAGTCATGTTAGTATATAATATATTTATATTAAGTATTTAATATATTTGTTACACATGTATTTTCTGATAATTTGATTTTTAGTACACATTTAATTTATTATATAGTCATGTTAGTAGAAGATAATCTTATTTTGCAGAATTACATTCATGTGGCTTTTGTTTTTAGATGGACTGGATTTCTATTATTCTTCAAAGCAGCACGCTCAGAAGATGGTAGAGTTCCTTCAGTGTACAGTCCCCTGTAGGTACGTTCTGAACTGAAACGTGATTAAGCCCCAGGACCTGGGAGTGGATGTATTCCTGTCTATTCTTCAGACTGAGACAGCCTCTCATGCTAATACATTTAAATCTAGTAGGCATACTCTCACAATTAGTAAGTGTTTGCTGGATTTTGTCACTCTAAGGGAAGTATTAGCCTAAGAGCATGTAAGAATCACTTTGGGGTTGTGCACCTCACTCTGTGGTAACAGGCACTGTAGTGCTGAACCATTGATTGAACATTTTTAAATAAGAGGGAAGAAAGATGGGGTAGAGGGCTTTGGGGAAAGCTTAATGGAGGAGGAAAGACTTCAGCACCTAAAATGGGAAATTTTCAAAGGTAAAGTTTACATCGAAAAGTGTGATGAGTGTGAACAAAGATTTGTGGACATTAGTTTAGCTTTTAGTGGATGCTGTTTATAGGTTAGATTGGCTGAGGCAAGGCACGTTTTGGAGATTTTTAGTAGATAACGTTGAAGATAGTTAGGGTGTAGTCATATTGGTGAAGGTTCGGATGAAATTAGGCTTCACCATAGCAGACGTCAGGAAGCTGTTTCAGACCTTTGATGCTGATTTGATTGGGTGAAATTTGATATTCTGAGACTGTACAAATAAGGCATTTGTCTTTTTATTGCTGTTAACTTTTTCTCTTAATAGGTACAAAGCTTCACAGAGACTGATCTCTCAGGATATCCATAATAACACATACAATTACAAAAGCACTTTTTCTGTGGAAATTGTTCCAATATGCAAGGTACTTTCTCTTATTTAATTAATCTGTGTCTATAAGAGTGCAAGTAATTAATTGGTTTATATGTAATTACTAGTTCCTGGTTTCCTTCTGGGGTTGGTTAAAAATTTAGAATAACTTCCTTAAGTGATTTCTAACACACTCAGCTATGTTAAAAAGGTGTTAAAAGTAATTATGCTTAAAATTAAAATTGGCATACCCTTTATTTTGGTGTACTAATTAAAAGGCCGGTTTCAGTTTTTAATGTCCTTATTCCTTAAAATTTGTGATCCTAGTGGACATAGGACAATGCTATGAAACTTTGAATACAGGAAATGACATTAAAATAAATATCAGTGAACCACTTTGGAATATGTTCAAACTGGATTTTGGCAGGATGAAACTAAACAGTATTGTGGAAATGAGGCCATAGAATCATTTTTGTGATTTAAAAACATAATCTTAATAACACTTAAAATGTAGTTTATCATTTTATTTAATTGTACTAAGGTAAAACCCTGCTTTAAAAACAGAAGTGGATTAAAATTTCAACAAATTGTTATTGAGGATTTATTGTATAGAACGCTGTGTATGAAGGATTGTGTATCTAGAGATCTCTGTCATATAGGAATTTATAATTGATATTTAAATCACTAATAATGATAAGTGCTATAATTTATTGTGAGCATTCCATATAACTTAATATCTAAGTATAGTTATATCTCAGGTACTTGTTGGCCTCAGAACTCATCACACCCTGTACTTGATGCATTTTGACAAGAAAAAAAAATGTTTCGGCACTTGGCACTTGCTCAGGACTCCTTGTACTTGCTAGAACTTGTATGAGTCCCGATGCTGCTCTGCAAGAGAAAATTCCTTATCATTTGGTACTTGTTGGTTTCGGCACTCATCATGAGTACCAGAACAAATTAATGATGAGTACTGAGGTACCACTGTGCTTGAGTGTATTTCACCTCTTTACATCTCATTATAACTGAGGTGAATTATACTGTCATTTTGAAGATGAGGAAATCAAAGCTTGGGGAGGGTAGATGACTTGACAAAAGTTACCTTACTACAAAATGATGAAGGCAGGATTCGTACCTAGGTCTGTGATTCGTAAGCTTTAAAGCTGTCACCACTAATTTATGATAGGGTACATTACCGAGGGGTGAAATGATGGCTTAATACAGGGTCAGCACAATTTTTCTGGAAGAGGCAGATAGTAAACATTTTCAACTTCAGGCCAGGTATTTTCCTTTGCATCCATTCAGCTGTTGCTGTTTTACAAAGTTGCCATAGATAATAGATAAATGAATAGCTGAGGATGTATTCCAGCAAAACTTTATAAGATGGACTTGGACCAAATTTGGCCTGAGGGACATATTTTGCAAAACCCTAGTTTAGAACTGAACATTTTACTGCTGCAGAGCCTGGGAAATATAAATTTAGGTGAAGGGCCTATTTAAGGCCTTGATTATTAAGTGCTGTGAGCGATTCATACAAGTCCCTGGATGCATACACAATTTAAAGGAGTATTTTCATCAATCTTTGGAGACTAAGTTAAAAAGAAAGGACTGGACAAGATGTTGTTAGGGATGCACAACAGGTCTTTTCAGTGGAGGAGCCTATGATTGTAAATGGATACAGCTTAAAATGTAACCCAGATTCTTTTATGTTTTAATGCAGTTTAAAAACAGATAACCCCATTGCTGGTGTAATTTCCCAGTGTACACATAGAAGTCTGCTTTTGGGGGCATTAAATATATGATTATATATTGTTATGTGTAGCCTTGAAAGAGAAACATGTGGCTCTCCTGAAATTTGTTTTTTGTGGAGATTGAAGGAAGTCATTAGTAGATTTAGAAAATCACTCTTGATGATTAGTACTTTGCTTAGAATATACACTATTAACATAGGGTGATAAGCATTCACACTTAAACTAAATTGAAATAACTTAATAGTTTGGTGAATAGGATCTCAAAAAACATTATAGCATTTTTATTAAGACAAATATCTTAAGAAAGTATGGCTTATTTTAAAGATTCTTTTGTTTAGGTACTTTGTCGATACATAGAATTAAAAATTCATTGTTTCAGTTTGGGCAGATGCACTTGGATCAGGTTTACAGTGTGAGTGTTTTTTGGAGACTGTTACTTAGTATTTGCTTCACTCTAAATGTTAGTTCTTATGTCCAGGATAATGTTGTTTGTCTGTCTCCAAAACTGGCACAAAGCCTGGGAAATATGAACCAGATTTGTGTGTGTATTCGTGTAACCAGCGCCATCCATCTCATAGATCCAGACACCCTGCAAGGTAAGTTGTAGGAGTTGTTTGCCTTGACAGTTCTGTCTAGCAAGCTGTAATATTTATGTTGTAATTCATCAAACATTTTCAATAATATTGTTATGAAAAACTGTTTAACATTTTTATTATTTAATTCTTATAAAACACTGCAATGTTAAAACTTTTGGTAAGTTAACTCTTGTATTTTTTTTAATGCTTACTGGAGGATGTACCTACTGATTTTAGAGCAGTGGGGACAGGAAGAGAGAGAAAGAACATGGATCGGTCGCCCCCTGTGTGCGCCCCGAATGGGGGTCAGACTGCCACTTTTTGGTGCCTGGATGATGCTCCAACCACAGGAGCAGCTTGGCCAGGGCCGCCCTTGTAGTTTTCACTTGAAGAAATAATTCTGTGAACTTTCAAAAACTTACTGGTTTTATGCCATTTATTTTTATGGAAATTGACTTATTTACCTCAGTTTACTTTTGTGACTAATTATTTAAGTTCATTGCCAAATTTTAGTGTATAGCAAATATTTTAAAGTTTGGAACATTTGATTTTTTATAATCCAGTAGAACACTTAGTTTAAATATGAATTTTAACTCATTTCATCATTATTATACATAATTTTTAACAGTCTGTTAGAAAAAGTATTTTTAAAAAGATTTTATTTATTTATTTTCAGACAGAGGGGAAGGGAAGGAGAAAGAGCGGGAGAGAAACATCAGTGTGTGGTTGCCTCTCATGCGTCCCCTACTGGGGACCTGGCCCACAACACAGGCATGTGCCCTGACTGGGAATCGAACCAGCGACCCTTTGGTTCACAGGCCACACTGAATCCACTGAGCTACACCAGCCAGGGCTATAAAAACTATTTTTCAAAGAATACCCCGCATTGATAGGTGTCTCCTTAGTACTTGTTTGCATCTCTTAATTTTTTCTTTTTCAGTATTTCCTGTAGTGTAAGTTTTCTGTTATTAAAAAAAATTGAGTTTATTTTGCTCTTCTCCAGAAAGTCATTTATTATCTTTGTCAATTAGATTAGAATTTATCAGTCAAAGGGTTTTTTTGTACAGTATTGGATGAACATATGTCAGGTAAAACTGAATTTTTTTATAAAAGTACCTAAGATGACTGACAGTGTTTCTAAATATAATGCTAGCACATGAAAACTATACAACTGACTGGCTCTGACCTTACATTAAAGTCACTGAGCTCTGTTGCCTTCTGATGATAATAATGACTTAAGGTATGTTTGGTGCCTGGGATTCCTCTCGTGTTGCGAGAAATTGGGACTGATTCGTGGGGTAAATGACGACTCTGGAGAGTAGACTGCCACTGTGGGTCCTGCTGACCTGGTGCTTCCCATTTTGTCTGCACCAGCCTCTCCCGAGTTATGTTTGACATTTGTTGATTTTAATGTACTTCCTTTCTCTTCTTTGATAGTCTATGCTAATTCTTAGTTGCAGATATAGATGGAAATACTTTCTGGAGTCACCCTTTCAATAGTTTATGCCATCCCAAACAGCTGGAGGAATTTATTGTGATGGAATGCAGCATAGTTCGAGATCTAAAACGCAAAGCAGGTGCCGGAATGGTATCAAAAAAGGTAAGTTCCACCCACCCCCCACACCTTTTTTTTTCCCTTGCCCAACTTACGGTATTGATCACAGTAATTATGTGTTTCTGGATAAAGCTAGTACCACACTACGTTAAAAATGCATTCCATATCTATATGCTTTTAACATATAGTCATTGTGGTGAAAATTATCAGACTTACACTGTCTGGTAAGTATATTCTTCTGTGAGAACATTTTTTTTAATGTTGTTTATTATGAAAAAGCATTTTCTTGCTTTACTTTTGTGCAGGAGGACCAAATGATCAGCTAATCTTTTTTGACTTTTTAAAAATTTTCAAACATTTGAATCAAATATAAGCTGTATTATACTAAGTACTGAATACTTTAGTTTGCATTTCTGAAACATAGGAACATTTTCTATATGATCAAAGTATTACATATATAAACATCGTCATGTATATTCACATTTCCTCACTTGTCCCAGATCATCTTTTGTGGATTATTTAATCCATTTGGAGATCATACATCCAACATGAATATTATACCTCTTATATCTTTTATTTAATAATAGCCCCCCTTTTTTCTTTTTCGTAACAACTTTTTAAGGCAACTCAGACATTTGTCTTGTGGATCTTTATTATTGTTTTCTCAAGATGTCATTTAATTTGCTACTTAATCTCTTGTAGTTCCATTAAACTGGGCAGTGGATCTAAAGGTTTGCTTAAATTTAGGTTAATTAATTTTGGCCAGAACATTTTGTTGGTGATGCTTTGTATTTTCTATGGTGTATCTAGAGGCAAGTAATGTTTGGCTAGTTCACTGAGAGCGGATCTCTCTATTATGATTCTGTTCCCTTTGTTACTAGCCTGTCGGTCTGATTTACTTCACCCTTTCCTCCTTTCCCTCCCTCCCTCCCTCCCTCCCTCCCCTCCCTCCCTCCCTCCCTCCTTCCCTCCCTCCCTCTTACATTGCCCCAAATTTAGCCACTTGGAAACCTTTACAGAATCACTTCTATGTCTTTAATTTTTTAAAATTTATTTAATTATTGTTCAAGTACAGTTTTATGTCTTTTACTCCCATCCTGGCCCACTTCACTTCCATTTTCACCCCTGTTAGTTTTTGTCCATGTGTCCTTTATACTTGATCCTGTGAATTCTTCCCCCTTTCCCCTGAAATTCCCTCCCCTCTCCTTTTTGGTCCCTGTCAACCAGTTCTCAATTTCACTGTATTTGGTTATATTTTGCTTGCTTGTTTGTTTTGTTGTTTAGGTTCCTGTTAAAGGTGAGATCATATGGTGTTTGTCTTTCACTGCCTGGCTTATTTCACTCAGCATAATGTTTTCCAGTTCAGTCCGTGCTGTTGCAAAGGGTAGTAACTCCTTCTTTCTTTCTGCTGCATAGAATTCCATTGTGTAAATGTACCATAGTTTTCTGATCCATTCATTTACTGACGGGCACCTAGATTGCTTCCAACTCTTGGCTATTGTAAATTGTGCTTCTATGAACATTGGGGTGCATGGGTTCTTTTGAACTGGTGCTTCAGGGTTCTTAGGATATAATCCTAGCAGTGGAATTGCTGGGTCAAAAGGCATATTCATTTTTGGTTTTCTTAGAAAATTCCATTCTGTTTTCCATAGTGGTTGTACCAGTGTACAATCCCACCAACAGTGAACTAGGGTCCCCTTTTCCCTACAACTTCTCCAAGTCTCTATGGGCAATTAATATTCGACAAAGGGGGCAGTAATATAAAATGGAGTAAAAATAGCCTCTTCAACAAATGGTGTTGGGAGAACTGGACAGCTACGTGCAAAAAAAAAACGAAACTCAAGCACCAACTTACACCATACACCAAAATAAATTCAAGGTGGATAAAAGACTTAAATATAAGCTGTGACACCATTAAAGTTCTAGAGGAGAACATTGACAGGAAAATCTCAGATATTCCACGCAGCAACATTTTTACTGATATGTCCCCTAGAGCAAGGAATATAAAGGATAGAATAAACAAATGGGATCTCATCAAAATAAAAAGCTTCTGTGTGGCTAAAGAAAACAGTATTAAAATAAAAAGAGAACCAACTGTATGGGAAAACATATTTGCCAATGATACCTCAGACAAGGGTTTAATCTCCAAAATATAAACAAAGAACTTACACGACTTCACTCTAAGAAGAAAAACAACCCAATTAAAAAGTGGGCAAAGGACTTGAACAGACATTCTCCAAGGAGGACATACAGAATATCCAGAGACACATGAAAAGATGCGCAATATCACAAGCTATCAGAGAGATGCAAATTAAAACCACAATGAAATACCACTTTACACTGGTCAGAATGGCCATCATAAATAAAATTTTTTTATAAGTGACTTTTACTTTTTTAGAGCAGTTTTAGCAAATTAAGAAGAGTAGGTAAGAAATTTCCCATATACCCCTGGTCTATATACATGGATAGCCTCCATTATTAATATCCCAACAGAGTCTCCCTACCCAGGAACATCGAATTTCTCTCTGTTTACTTAGGATTTTTTTTTTTAAGTTTTGTTCATTAGAGTTTTGTAGTTTTTCTCATAAAGATCTTAGCATTTCATTTTTTGGTGGTGCTAATATAAATGGTATTGTGTTTTTAATTTTAAATTCTACATGTTCATGTTGATATATAGGAAAGTGATTGACTTTTGTTTGTAACCTTGTGTCCTGTAACCTTGCTATATTCTGGCAGTTTCTTTTTGTTCATTCAAATTTTCTACATATACAATTATGTCATCTACAAACAAAGATAATATATATATATTTTTTCAATCTATATATCTTTCATTTTCTTTGCATTAGCTAGGATGTCTAGTAGGTTATTGAAAATCAGTGGTAAGAAGGAAATCCTTGCCTTGTACCTGATCTTAGAGAGAAATCTTTTGAGTTTCTTACCATTAGGTATAATGTTAGCTGTAGGTTTTTTGTATATATTCTTTATCAAGTTGAGGAAGTTCCCCTCTATTCCCATTTTACTGAGAGTTTTTAACATGGATGGTGTGTGTTGAATTTTGTCAAGTGCTTTTTTTGTAGTTATACTCTCATATGACTTTTTTTTTATCCTGTTGATGTGATTGATGGATTATATTAAGTGATTTTCAAATGTTGAATCAGCCTTGCACACATGGGGTAAATACCATTTAGTCGTGGTGTACAATTCTTTTATATTTTGTTGAGGATTTTTGTGTGTATGTGTTTATGAGAGAACATTGGTCTATAGTTTGCTTGCCTGGTAATGTCTTTGTTTGGTTTTGGTATTAGGGTGATGCTGGCTTTGTAAATGTGTGAGGATGTATTCTATTTCTGTTATCTTCTGGAAGAGATTGTGGAGAATTAGTATAATTTCTTCCTTAAATGTTCGGTAGAATTCACCAGTAAATCCATCTTGGCCTGGTGCTTTCTGTTTTGGAAGGTAATTAGTTGTTGATTCAGTTTCTTAAATAGATAAGTCTATTCCTATGTCCTTTTGACATGACTTTCCTGGCCTTTGAAAACATCCTTAGTTTCTGGCACAACACCACAATGTTTAGAATCACATTGTGTTCCAGAATCACATGGTATAGTTCTTACCCCCATGTCTGAAATCAGGTGTTTCTTCAAGGATATAAGTCTGATTTCCTTTACTGTGAATTAATATTTAGAGGTTCTTTATCTGTATACTAGTGGTGCTCATTTTTACAGAGGTAATAATTGTGTTTTGAGATAAATATAACTTTTGATAATTTGGGAAAATCAATAGAAATCTAAGACTACTTTTCACATTTTTATTTAAAATGCAAAATTTAGTAATGTGCATTTAGGAATGTGCAAAAGTAATTTAGGAACATACTTTTATTATTTATAATAAATGTACAAGAATATCCCTTTCCCTAGGCATATATAAAACGGGATAATGTATAGTTTTGTTTGTTTTCAGAAAATACGTTTAGCTAGAACAGGTTCATAAGTCTCCTATAAATAGAAGCAATCTAAGAGCTAGAAAGTGAATCCTATCACATAGGATTTAGTCTCTCTCTTTTTGGTAACTACCTTTTTTTAAAATCATTTCTTTCCCAAATCTGAGACCTTTTATTTCACTCTCTTTTTATCCCTACCTCTTCTTTGCATCTCTTTAAGATTCCTTAGTTTTATCTATAATCTTAGTATTGCTCTTGATCTTAATGGGTCTGTCTTGTTAGTAAAAGGTATTGGCATGTGCTATACTTAATTCAGTCCAGAAGTCTGAATGTCAGTTAAAATTTCTTGTAAAATTCTGTTTTGGAAGGGTACTTGAATGGTTTTCTAGTTTAAAATTTCAAACTTGGGATGCTGTTTCTGCAATAGTTTTTTTTTTCTTTAAGTGTAGCACCTCAAAATAGACACCCAAACATTTAATACTGGTAGTAATGGGGCCACTAGGATTGCTAGATTGTTTTGTCTGAACCCTGATTTTTTAACTTTATGCGTAAAACACACAGGTTGCTTAGGATTGGATTTGAGATTCCCTTCCTTTGTCACTTGCTCTCTTTGCTCAGTCTGTATTAACCCATCTCCTGGTGGGAGCATTTCTTATGAAAATTCTACATGTCTGTTTTTAGGTGACTTGTTCATATTTTATAAAAGTCTTGGTGAAAATTTTAACAAAAATATTTGAGTAAATTGTGAATCTTTTTCTATACTTAGGTAATTTGTTAACTTTGACAGTGCTTCAGAGATCTGAAAAATAAAATAATTTCTGTTTTTAAAATGAAAATTAGGAAACCAAAATCAACATTGTATTTCAGTTTTCTATGAAATGCATTTTTGAGTTTCATTTTCTTTCCTGTTAAGCATACCCTTGGGGAAGTCTGGGTACAGAAAACATCTGAGATGAATACAGATAAACAGTATTTTTGTCGCACTCATTTGGGACATCTTCTGAATCCTGGAGACCTGGTGTTGGGGTTTGTATTACTTTATAGTATTTTAAACTGTCAATTAGCATTGCAGATTTTCTTCTGGAGCCAGCAAAGCTTTCTAAAATACTGAAGTTGTTTGTTCCAAAAAGAATTCCCACTAGCTTTATGCTCATTTTACTATTAATAAGTGAGTTAAAACTGTGGATTGGACAGAAGCCCATACTTAACTGCATTTTGGCCATCATCTTGAAACATCATTTCTTCCAAGAATCTGAGTAACTGAACTGTACAGTTGTATGGTCAGATCACCTTTATAGCTCTTTGGGGGAGTGGATAGTTTTTTTAAAGCATATGCTGCTGCGCAGATAATTCACTTTTAAAAAGTGGCAGCCATGTCTGTAAGGGGTCTTCACAGGCATAGGACAGTCCATTCAGATGCTGAGCTTGTCATCGTGCCTCACACTGTACTTTTGCTTTTAGAGTTTTAGTTCCTTTACTAGAGAATGAGGGGTTTTTGTTTGTTTTGTTTATTATAAACTAAATGGAACCATGTAACTGAATCTTTCAGACTTATATGTAAGCCTGTTTTGCTTCTTTATAAATATAGGTAAGGTAGGTGATAATGGACGTGTGAAACTCACAGTGCATTATCGTCTTTACTGTGAGCTGTAGAAGTGTGTTCCCTGTAGAGTGAACTCTGAGACTTTGGAAATGGGAACGTGTATTACATGTTTGATCTTAGAAGGAACTTTGAGGGGATCATCCATAACATAAAAAGTTGCATGGAAAGGAAACATTTTTTTGACATTAAGTGTTTTATTATTTTCATTTCAGATTTGATTTGGCAAACTGTAACTTAAATGATGAGCATGTCAACAAAATGAAATCAGATAGAGTCCCAGATGTGGTAAGGCTTTAGATTTTTCTCTTTTATCCTATATTAACGAGCATTGATGTAACTCTTATGGGTAAAATGCACAAGGTCATGTTTTTAAAAATAAAAAATTAATTTAGAGATTTCTTTTGAAATTGCACTTAAGGTATAATAGCAGAGGCCTTCATTGTAAATCATTTTTCTTAGTGGAGAAAATCCAAGATTTAAAGAGTGTTTTTGTTGCTTTTATAATCAAATGTTCATATTCTGTCAAAATGCTTGATACTGTTCATAGAGGAAAAAATACATTTGCAGCTAAATTTGATGACCTTTAGAATTTATTCAGGTTTATTCTTTTGGCTCAGTTTATTTCATGTATTGTTCAATTAAGAAGGCATTTAGAGTTAAATTCTCTTTCTAGTTTGAATATAATTGCAATGAAAATGACCTTCATAGTAGCAAGTCTGAGGGAAAGAATCTGACTTTTGGGAAAAAACTTAAATTGTAACATGAATTTATAAATAAAGTCATGAGCAACAGTGAATGTGAAAGATCCTATCTCCCACTTCCTTAATCTTTTAAAATAAAATTGATCTCTTTGGCCGTGGGCAAAAATTAAGTCATGGTGTAAGAAGGACTCGTCTCCTCACCACCCAGTTGTGCTTTAGTGAGTTAATAAATTAGGAAATAAAGCTCAGCTCAGGTGTGAGTCTGAGTAGGTCTTTCTGAATAGATCGTAACAGGAGATCATGATGGCCTTACAAGATTTTGTTTTGTGTAAAATTCTTAATTCATGCTGCAGTTTTTAAAACTGTTCTAGGGCATACAGTTGTGAAAGATATATATATAGTTCTATAAGTGCTTATTAGTACAAATAAAAGGAGAAAAAGTGTCTATGATAATGTTTCAGAATGACTTACATGAATGGTAGCTAAAAACTGAACGATGGTCTAAAAAACACACCAGATACCTAAAAGTTTTGAGAAGAAAGGAAAAACAATTTTGGTTCACTGAAAAACTGCAGTTAGTAAATTTTAACAATTATGCAAATAATGGCTGAATGCATTCTCATAAAATAGTAAGTGCCTGGAGAAAAATATTAAAAGTTCTCTTGACACCGCCTCGTGATCCCTCCCTCCCTCCTTCCCTGGAGGTGTAACCACTGTGGTCAGTTTGGTGACTCGCGGGCATTCTCATAACCTTTCATTTTCTATCTTTATTGGACTTTGAGGCCATGTTACCCAGTTCCCGTTTTTTGTAACCTTCCAAATATTCGTGACTTCTAGGTATTGATCAAGAAGAGCTATGACCGCACAAAACGTCAGCGTCGTAGAAACTGGAGACTGAAAGAGCTTGCGAGAGAGAGAGAAAACGTGGATACAGACGACGAAAGGTCCCACTTTCCTTTGAACCTTTTATGGTTTTTATCTATAAAGAAGTAGCCATCACACAATTTATTCTTGAACTCAGAATTAATTTTGTGTTTTTACCAATGTGTTGATAGAATCAGTATAACATTTAACACATATTTAGTTTTTATTTCCTGGGTTATGACCTGACAATTGCAGTGTTACTGAAAATAGTTTATTTGAAAAGTCAAAATATAAGAAGTAATTAATTACCTTGTGGATATCACAAATAGCAAATGAATACTTATGGCTTGGGGTGAAAAGAAAATAGTTCATTGATATCAAATATGCTATTTTTCGAACAAGTTAAGGAGAAATAGAGGTTATGTGTTCTAGAAAAGTGAACTGGATGATTTGTAAAGTGGCCTGACTAATGATGGTAAAGACAGTGATGTATGAAAAAGTGAAGTTTTAAATAAAATCGTGTCATTAGCTGTTAGTGCAGAATAGCATATTTCTAAAACATAATCTCATAATGTAGTTTAAAACAAGTGTGTATTAAATATGTAATGTTAACTAGATGTAAGTATACTTTTGACTGTTTCATCTTTAGTCTTAAAAGTGTGTATATTTTCAACTTGGTCATAAGAGTTTTTTTTGAAAATTGGAGTGGGAAGGAGCCTTCTCATTGTATTATACTTAAATTTACGTCACCTATGTTCAGTTGTGTATTTATTTTATGATGTAATTTTGAAAGAAAAAATGTAAAAAACTTGTCAGAGTACTTAACATGCATAACTGACAAGCAAATATTTTAAAGATTTTAATCTTACATATTATAGTGCTGAAAATGAAGAAAAGATAACTTCATTCTTGCTAAAGGTGAAACATTTAAATTTTCTTCATTCTTTTATAGACAATACCAAGATTTCCTTGAAGATCTTGAAGAAGATGAGGCAATTAGAAAAAACATCAACATTTACAGAGGTAGGTGTTGGAGTGTTTAAGTTGTGTTCCCCCACAGGGATTATTTTGGTATCTTTAACTTTGATTCTGTAAATGACTCTTATGTTTTTAAAAACTACTCTGCCCAATCATTTATTTAAAAAAATCAGAACAGTAAAACTTACTAAAATGCTTGCTCTCCCACATTTGGTATCATTTGCATCCTCGCACGATGCCTCAAGTTCTGGACCCCTACACTGGTGGGTATTTAGTCACATATCTATGCGGTCCAGTCGTTCAGTGGGTGTTGAAATGCCCACTGTAGGTATGATACAGGAGCTGTGGATGCAAAGTGGTTCGATAATAGTAATCATGGTGGGGGCAGGCGCTTGCATATTTCCGTATTTGTATTTACATGAAATCCTCCTTGTATTTTTTCTTAGATCCCACCATTCCTGTGGAAGGTGACACCGATGATGAAGGAGCACCTCGAGTTAGTCTGGCTGAGATGCTTGAAGACCTTCACATTTCCCAGGATGCCACTGGTGGAGAAGGTGACTCGATGATGACGTGATGGGCTCGGCACGTTGGAGAAGACGACCCTTTGTTTCATCTGTGCCTCCGTATCAGAGAGAAGTTTAGTTTTAAACCCGAATAAATACGGCTGTTTTGATTGTTCACTCAAAGTGCTGGAGATTGATGGCTTTTAAATTTTAGGTAAGAAACGTTATGGAGAATATTACTATTACTTGTATTTAGGCCACTTTAGGTACAGGGTTTTATTGGTTTGCTGTTTTCTGAGACACAAGTATTTTTGCATAACATTAGTGCTGTATTTAAAAAATTTAAAAGTTGTGATTCCTTAGATGTTACCTAAATCTGCAAGCATAAAACAAGCTTTTACATTTTTTTACATTGATTACTTTAGTAAAAAAGGATATGAAGAATAATTTTTAATGTGAACTTGTTACTTTGATTCACTTGAAGTAGGAAGTTAGGGTTCAGTTTATCACTGGACATTAAGGGGGAAAGTTAATCTTTTTTATTAACATCTTTAAATTTTAAAAAAAAATTACTTGTTGATTTTGGAGAGAGAGAGGAAGGGGGAGAGAGAGAAACATCGATTTGCTGTTCCAGTCATTTGTGCATTTGTTGGTTGCTTCTCATATATGCCCTGACTGGGGGATCGAACCAGCAACGTTGGTGTGTTGGGACAACACTCTAACCCACTGAGCTACCTGGCCAAGGCTGCTAATATCTTTACAAGTTGATAAATCGGAGGTTATTTTAATTTTTATTGCAGAAAAAATATGTTAATTATTTGTAGATTTGTAGCAAACATAGACCACTTATTTTAAGGTTAAATAATAATTTATACCATTGCTATTTTTGCCCATGCCAGCAGGTTGTGGCAGTAGCTGCTTATGTCAAAAAATGTCTTCCTGTCATTTCAAGGATTTTCCTTTTAAAATTTTGGTGTACAAATTGAGAAGGAAGGCATTGTCTCTATGTTTCTGTCACTGAACACAACCATCACAAAGAGTATTAGAATCCAGCATGTAGATGATGAAACAGTAAAAATGGTCTTTGTGCTTTATAAAGCCACGAGTCAGCTATGAATGAGGAGTGCCTTCCGCATCCTTTAAAAAAACAGCTGGCTTGGGTTTTGAAGTGTTTTGAGAATGAACTAGTAAGATCGTATTTCTCTGAGAAGATCATACTGACTAAGTGTGCCAGAACTAAGAGCTATTTAAAAACTTGAAGTATACCAACCCCTACATAAGGAAACTGAGTGTTGAAGGGAACGTTTTCCGTTTTTTAAAGACTGGACTCCTTAGTTCTGAAGTTATGAATAAAGGTCCGAACCTTCTGTATGGCTTCTTTTCTGTCTGTGTTTGCCTGTTCTTTGTCAAGACTTTGAAAAACATGAAAATAAAAACATTTTCTCTATTTTTTGTGTCCTTGAGGTGATTGATTGCATCGGTGACATACCTAATGCAGTTTTCCAAACTGGAATTGTGTTATTTAAATGCTTGTCATGTGATTTACCCACTGAAAAATATAGTCTCCTATTAACCTTTTTTAGTCTTGCTCTTTTGGATGTCATGTCTTTCTGAGTAATGAAAAGAAATTGTTGGTTGAAATCGGCTGTGACAGATGCAGGAGTGTAGCTAAGAGAAAAGCTGTAAGAATTACACAGAGTTATACACCTTGATAAATCTACCATTTTAGAATGGAGTCTTCAGGCTCACCGGCCCCAGAGTACTCTTGTTGATGTCCCAGAGCTGACACAGTTTGGCAATGCTGGTGTTCATCAAATTCACAGGAAGCTGATTTTCAACCCAGTATATAAATGAGTAATTTCTAAGTCAGTGTGATCTGTTGTCTTCTTTGGAGCCAGATCTGTGCCCGAAGCTGCTGTTTTATAGGCAAAAGTCAGTTGAAGAGCAAGGGAACAGATGAGGGAGAGTTGCTGGTGTAATTCAGATGTTTCACAGCATCAGTCTGGTTCCTTGCCATGGCTGAACCCAGGGCTTGGGGCTGGGTCCCACGGGTGTGGTCAGTGTTGAGTCTGGGCCAGAGTTTACTCTGGGCTTTTACTTTTACTAAATGTGTTCATTTTATCCTTTAGATTACTTCATCTGTATTTTTAGTCCAAGGGATGTTTACTTCTTATAATAATTTATTTTTAATTTTGACATTTTCAGACAAAGAAAAGTTGCAAGATTGGTACAAGGAATTCCTGAGTTAAAATTTGCCAGATATTAACACTTACCTGATTTGCTTTCTTTTTAATTATTTTTTTCCTAAACCACGGAAGAATAACCACAAATATTTCATTGTTTTCTTTTCCCCCAAGGAGTTTCTTTACATAACCATAGTGCATTGATCAAAATCAGAAAATTAACATCAGCACAATACTGTCACCTAATTGAGAATCATAATGAGATTTTCCAGTTCCAACCATACAGTCCTCTACAGAAAAAACAAATCTAAGATTGTGTATCGCCTTGGGTTCTCATGACTTTTAGACTTTACCTGGGCCAGTTGCTGAGTTTTATGTTCTATGTAATTGACATTTTTCAAGAGGCCAAGCCTGTTATGTTGTAGAATGACTTCAATATGGGTTTGCCTGATGTTTTCTCATAATAGCTTCAGGTTTAGCACTTTCTGCAGGACTGCCCCAGAGGGAACAAGGCCATGTCCTCCGTGCCTTGTGTCGGGAGCACTGAGCTGTCCGTCCAGACGTTCTCAAACCCACTCAGGTTACTGCTTTTCTGTTTTAAGGAATTAAAGGTCTTAATCCTGTATAACTGTTATTTTCACTTTATTTTTTTTTAATTTCATTTTTAAATTAGAGGTAGTGATGTTCACTCTTTTGATTGACAGTGCTATAAATTTTAACACAGATTCATGTTATCCTCACCACAATCAAAATACAGAACAATTTTTTTCATTCCCCTCAACTGCCTCAAAACTGCGTTAGCCATTCCTTTGTTTTCAAACCCTTCCCCTCACCTTAACCCTCGCAGCTTCCAATCTGTTCTCTGACCTAGGACTTGCTTTTCCCAACATGTGTAAGTGAAATCGTACAGTGTGTAGCCTTTGAGCGTGATTCCCCCCGCCCCTTAACACGCCGTACTGGATATTCACCCAAGATGTAAATTACCAGCAGCTTGTTCTTGTCACTTAGAGTGATGTTGCGTTAAGTGGACGTAGCATACCATAGTGTGGGGGCGACTTCTCCGCGAGGTCCCCCCTGGTGCCACAGACGCACGTGAGTGAATAAATACGGCCGAGACAAGATGAGATCTGTTTGGGGGAGGAGGAGTGGGCTGTGGCCAGTTTCTCAGGGGAGACAAAGGCCAGCGGCGGCCAGTTTCTCTGAGGAGAAAAAGGCCTCGAGCGCCCTGCTCCATAGCCTTTTATTGGGTTGTAATACACAGGAATACAGGGCGGCAAGGATCAAACAGTAGATGACATTACAAAGAGGTCTGAGTCAGTGTCTGTCAGGAAAGGGGGTTGCAGAAACTTGGCAGACATATTCATTTCCTCTAGGACCCTTATCATATGAATGAAAGCACTCTTAGCAGAGCAGATTTCAGGTTTATCAGCAAGTCTTTGTGATGCCAGATTTTTCCCCAGGACACGCTCTAGCAAGGCAAGGAGCTGCACCTCTCCCCCTCAGGTACTCAGGCTTAAGAGGATTAGAGCCAGGAAGCGCTTCTCCCAGAGAACATGGGGACTTGGGCTATGTCAAAGCCCGGGTTGGTGGGGGACAGAGAGTCCATTGCTCTTTGTTGCAGCCTCCGAGTCCTTCCATGAAGGCCTCCCAGGTGATCCAGTCTGGCTTAGGTTGTCCCCCCACTGTGAGGGGTCTTACCCGTCATTGACTTCCGACCATGCTTTGGGGGCAGGGAGAGGAACTGAGGCAGCATTTGCTACCAGAGACAGGCTTTGTCTCCTTTGGCTGGCATTCCAAAGGTCGTCTCTCGCCCTTTGCCACAAGGGGTAGAGATACAATTCCTAAAATCAGGCAGAGTGGTCTGCAACACCATAGGTTCTCTGTTCTGTTCAGCACATTTGAATTTCCAGGTTGTGGTGAGTAGGAGTAAAGCTGCTGTGAACGTTTCTGTACTGGTTTTCATTTTATTTGGGTAAATAAACTTGCCGGATCCTATAGGTGTATATACTTGTGTATGTAACTTTCTGAGAATCTGCCAAACTTTTCCAAAGTGGTCGAGCTTCCTGCCAGCAGCGTATGAGCCCTGCGGTTGCTCTGCATCCTCACCAACCACCACCTGGCGGTGTCAGTTTCTTAAGCCATCCAAGTAAATGGATGATGATGTATTTTTGTAGTTTTAATTTGTTTTTTCCTAATGGCTAATTGTGTTGAACATCTTCTCATGTGCTTGTTCTGTGTATATCTCAAGTCTTTTGTCTACTTACTTGTTTCCACATTGAGTTAATTTTTTGATGTTCTTTCCATTTTATTTTGTATTGATTTTAGGTATGCAGCTTAGTGCTCACACAGTCATACACTTGCACAGTGCACCATATTGCATGTTATTGACTATATTCCCTGTGCTTTACTTTACATCCCACGACTATTTTGTATGAGTTGATTTTTTATTTTTATGCTTGCCACATCCCAGAGTCGGTCAGTGGGTACCTATCTCCTGGTTCCTGTGTCCTTTTAACAGCTGCACTTCTGTGTGTATTTGCTCTTGTTCATGGATGCTGATACCATAATGTAAGTCAAGTCTTCGGGCAGGGTTTGGATTTTCCTCGTTCGGGCCCCATACGAGGTCTACTTTGGCTGATTTTCACCGTAGGATTTAATTTACCTAAAATAGAACAACTTACTTAAAAATAGGCCAGCCTCATCAGTTGAATCATCCTGTGAATTAAAGGCTTGCGGAATGGCATCGTGAGAGCAGATGGAGGCCATGCGTTCTCCGTTTGTCCTGTCACGTGTAGGGTTGACCCAAGCAGGGTGGCGGCGACCTTGATAAAGGCAGGGAGTCAGTCTAGATTATCTCTTTGAACTTCAAAATAGTGTAAGGAGAATACCGTACTCAGTTTTACTTCTTTGACTTAATACGGTGTGAAAGAACTGCCTTGTTTGCCGAGGGAAGAGGCGTGATTCGGGGCGCCTTGTGAAACAAGTCCTCTGTAGTATTTAAAAGCCACTAGTAGTGGTTTGCTGGCTGCTGTGTTACGAGGCAGTGCTGTTTGTATTGCTGCATTTGATGGAGGTTATGTTTTGTTTTTGGGGGGGTTTGCACTGCAGGGGAGCCTGTCACACAACCAATTTCACTTAAGTGTGGGTATTTATAACATTGTGGTGAAGCACTTTAAAATAATATATGTACTAGCACTAGTGTACGAAATGCTGAGCAAGTAGTTCTAGAGAAGCTGTATTATATAGAAGTATAAGCACGTTTTGCAGTCAGCTTACTTGCTACCTATTAGGTATGTGACTTCAACTTCATGAACCTCTACTTAGTTCTTTATCTTTTAAAAAGGGGTAATACAGTCCACTACACAGAGTTTTGGTAAAATTCTCCAGCATGGTCAGTATGCAACAAATTGTACTCATTCAATAAATAGTATTTATTTAAAATTTATAACCACAGCCCAACCAATGTGGCTCCCTCATGTTGGTTGGGCATCCCCCAAAGCAAAAGGTCACTGGTTCGATTCCTGGTTGGGGCACATAACCTGGGTTTCAGGTTTGGTTCCTGGTTGGGGCATGTGCAGAAGGCAACCAATCGATGTTGCTCTCACGTCAATGTTTCTCTCCCTCTCTTCTCCCTCCCTTCCCTTCTCTAAAAATAAGTAAACTCTTTAAAAAAGATTATAATCATAGAGTTAGTGTTGAGCATTTAAACAAGTTGAGAAAAAGCATTTTGCATGCATACACTTTTTGGAGCAGCACAGGGCTGGTGCTAGAAGATGTGTGTGCACGTCTCAGAGAACTGTAAAGACAGAAGCATAAATTGCCCGTGTTCCCGCACTAGGGAGATTCTCACTGTCAACATTTTGGAATTCATTTTCTGTTCTAATGGAATTTGTTAGTATTTTAAAATTATTTTTTTAGATCTTCAGAAAAATGGATAAGACAGTTTCCACATTCCAGCTTCCTGTTACCATTTTATACAAGTATAATATATTCATTAGGCTTAAAGAGCCAATATTGATATATGTCATTATTAACTAAAGTTCGCAGTTTATTTAGATTTCTTTAGCTCTTACCTAAAGTACTTTTCCCCTCCGGGATCCCATCCAGGACACCTTGCTACAATTAGTTGTCCATGTCCTTAGGCAGTGGCAATGTCTCTGACTTTGCTTGTTTTTGATAAACTTAACAGTTCTGAGGAGAGCTGGTCAGGTATTTTGTATGACGGCTCACTGTTGGAATTGTCTGATATTTTTCTCTAAGAAGA